AGATGGAATATTTTTCTCTAAGGTAACGAAGATTTGCATTCTTCCCTCAGACAAGTGTGAAGTATTTTCTTACAATTGTTCAAAAGAAAGATTAAGAGAGATTGGGTGCAATGCTTAACATTGTACGAGTTAGCGAGCAACAGTTTGGTAGTTCATTCAAAGTGCAAAATCTCGCAAACTATCGCTAACGACTTCACAGCCTTCGCCAAGTCCAACGTATTCAGGGAAGTCAAGCATTTTGTGAGGTTTTGTTAGCGGAAAGAAATCATTGGTAAGTGACGGGCAGCATGTCTTTCCTAGCAGGAGAGTATGGGATGCCACATATGTTGTGGCTCTCAAAACTTAAAGCGGCAGATTGACAGAATTTTGTAACTTATTATTGCACTGAATTTTAGCTCATCTCTTAACTATATGTTTTACTGCAACAAAATTAATTTGCATGGCAAGCAGGCAGTTAGTTGTTTGATGAAGCAACGTATTTTTCAGTCATTTTAAAGGCGCGTATCTTAGAAAAAAAATGAGCCGCCCCCCCCCCATTCCTCAACAAACCCCAAAATAACTAAACCATAGTTTAATCATGCCCCAATTACTGTCAAGCCCTGGCCAGGTCTTGGAAGTAGTTTACTGGTTGGCAGTATAAGGTGAATTAGCAAGCATTTTGAACAATCCACCATACGCCCACAGGTTTAGTGTAAAATTCCTGATCGTCATACAAAACTGACGACAGTCGCAGCGCTGTTGTTCTGAATGTTTTTAGGTCACTCACTGAGATGAGAAATTTACAATTGAGCATCGCACTGGTCATTCAAAATGAACGTCTGTTTACTCACCGGCCGTCTGGCTCCTTGACGATATTTTTGCAGATCCATATCTGCAACCTCTACCGTCGGGCTTTCCGAGCTCTTCCATCTCGACAGACGATTCATCAAACTTTTCGTAACTGAAAATTTGCTTCTCGTTGAAGGACCATTGCCGAAGCGCTTTTTGGTCCGGAACAGCTCCATGGATTTGGTGCGTCTGAATCGCTGTGGCGACGACTGCCGAGTAGAGTTCAAATCCAGCGGTTGATAACTCTTGCGGTAATGAAGACGCAAATCCTCTGGTCGAAACGGAGTCGGCACTAAACCCATTCGTTTCATCAGGACGGAAACCACTTCCTCTGCTCGAGTACATCGAAATTCGAATAGACTTCCAGAGGTCTGATGAAACGCAAAAATTTCTTCATCGAGACCAACCCTGAAATTGTTTTCACTCTATTGCTTTCTAAAACTTTTGCATATTGCTGCCAACGATTATGATCAAAGTGAGAGGAGAAAGTAAGCCTATTTTCTGAAGTTCAACTATTTCTTCAACGTTATTTGTCTTTACTTATTTTTAATTGAATAACTTATGGAAAACAGCATCAAACTTGGTTTATGTAAGCATAACTGAAACAATTTTGTCAATCTGACGATTGACCAGCACCGATATTTTGTCCCGTATCTCACAGTCTTTCTTCAGGGCAAAGACGTTGCTTGATTTCAGAACTCTTTCGCAGCTGTGAAAAAATCCCGTGAGAAAAGGAAGGAATCGTTACTGATCAACCATCGAATGCCAATATTATTTGCGTTATGAATAAACAAACCGCGCTTTATACTTAATTCAGCATGATTATTAATGCATAACGAAATGCTGAATCTTGTGTTCTAACTTATTATTTGCATTATTCATCAAAACAATGAAGCATGTACAACTTTTGTTTCTGTTCGCATGCGGATGGTGGCGATGAGGTTTTAACATTCCTTTGTTCAATCCAGTTAAGAGATGCGATTTTGCGTCCTACGCTATGCAGAGGCTTAAATACATGGCGCATTGTTCTGCTTAAATGGTCCTTCTAAGTTACTACAAGCAAAGGGACGGTGAAATATTGCGGTACTTTATAGTATAAGACACCACCGCAGTATCGGTGTAAAGTAAGAAATGAATTTTTCTAACAGTGCGTTTTCGCCGTTTCAATCCGGTATCTGTATGCTTGAAAAATTATGTATTCGACGGGTGCATCGATAACCTTGCTGATGGAGTCTAACCCAGAGCATAGGGATTATGTTTTAATGTATAAAACGTTTATTTATTTACTTAAAAAAGCGAAGTATGAGGGTGCTACAAAAACATTTATCATGGACCATAATTTTGATACATCTAAATAACGGTTAAAACAATGGATTACAATTAAATGCAGGTAAAAATTCGTTCTTAACCTTTGGAAGCATGAATCTCATCATAACAGCAGCAATAGTTTATAGTTTTGCAACATGGATTTATTTGATCAGGGATAAATGGCATTATATGTAGATGTTACAGAAACAAAAGGGAAGAATGACTCCTCAAAGATCAGATTTCACGGCGTGTTGAATCGTCCACTTGTTCTAGTCATCTAAGCGACTATTTGAGCAGGTCATGTTTCCCTAAGCAACCATGAGCAGGGGGCGGCGCAATACTCAGTGACATCTGGTTTTGGAGGAGTCATTCGTTATTTGTAATAGTTTGGAGAATGGACAGATTATCATGTTTATGGACAGAAAGGAAAATGGAAATGTTCTAAAAGAGTAATGGGTGTTTTTCCTAAAAGCGCTTCCAGAGGATCTAGATGCTGACTTAAAATTAAAGTAAACAAATATTAATTATGGATGCACTGCTAACTCATTATTGAGAACACTAAATCAGGCAGACTTCTGACACTGATGTATGTATGTATGTATGTATGTATGTATGTATGTATGCATGTATGTGCTTCGCTACGTAATCCTTAGCATCGTCAGAACACAACTGATTATCAGGCTAGTAGCCGCATTATATAAGTGAGTGGCTGACTGACACCTGATTTTTGCCATCACATTCATAACTTTGAACTGTAGAGTTTGTCTTCTCATAATTACTTCGTTTGTGAAATTCTTCTTTCATCACGTTCGCAATACTCTTTCCATATGACGATAAGTAAAAGTTGGAGTGGTATTACGAACCTCATAGGAGAAAAATTTGGAACCATGAAATGCGTAGGGGAGATTAAATTCTAAAGAGATTGTGGTGGCAAAAATTTGGTGTCAATGAGCCACTCACTTTACATTGAGGCATTTCTTTTGTTTATGTAAGGAGGATCATGGCCTGATGATCAACTGTATCCTGATGATTCTACGGTGTGTATAGAGAAAAGGGTTGGTACTAAAAATTTCAAAATCTGTGCGGTTTGGTGCCCTCAAACATAAATCAGCAGCGATACAAAATAAATATTAATTGTATTTATGAACATATTAATTGCAATGGATATGGAATGGTGGAAATCAGTTGTGTCATCAATTTACGTTAACATTAGAAATTGTCATGCCATATTAGGTATTCGTTCTATCGAAATCCTGGCCATAGTCACAATCGATGATCGAAACGATGGCTTGAAACGAAGCGCTTTCAGGAGGAAAGAACAAAGCGAAAGAAGTCATGAATCCTGACGCAGCAGCTGCAAGCACAGACTGTCGCAATTTGTTCGAATGCACTATGAATTAGACTGACGCTTAATACTTCGCAGAACAGCTGGCGTAATGGCGTATTTCCAAAGTAACATTCGCTACGGCCCATCGCCGTTAGCCGTATTTCAACGACTATGGTAGAAATTGCAGCGTTATAGTTTTCAATTTAACAAGATGAAGGTTAACACAATGATCAGGTCCAGAAACCATACTCAGTCACGAATTATAGTATTGATGTTGAGTTGCACAAGGCTATATGTTGGTGTAATCGAGTTAAAAGATTCAGGTTCCCCAAAGGCTAGTCGTTATGTCAGATCGTAGCATTTGATACCTCATTTAGCGGAGAGCAATCCAAGTTGCTTCCATGGTTTTTCGCATTTCACGAGCTGAACTTCAGAGAGATAAACAGCGAGCATGCTGTAACTCTCCAAATTTGATATTCTTAACTACGCTTAATTGTCATCAATAGTTCCAAACCTGAGCAGCTTTCAAATGCATTTATATGCTGAGACTGCTGATCAGTCTTTTTTATGATTTGCAATGTGGAACTTTGGTTAGTGCCTCTTTAAACGGTACTCGATATCACCGGGAGTGTTTTAAAGGTGCCTATTCCTGTTTCCGCCCTGCTCCGCTAAATCATCGAATGGATCAATGATCATGGCATCAGCGTTAGAATAGCCCGACTAGAACTTCCATTTTCGCGGGTGTGAATTGCATTAGTACATAACGCTGCTGTGACTTACTTCACAATTCTTCAAGGCCATTTTCTCAACAGTAAATG